TGCGTGAGTTACGTGGCTGCTAAAAGGGTCAAATTCTAACTGTGAGATATTTCTGTACAATCACGGAAATGTATACTAATGAACAAACCAATGTCCTTGTTCTCCGGACCTTCCAAAATACATAAACAAGCAGTGACTTCCTTACATTTGAAGATACTATCAAATGTGAGAAATAGACACCGGTGTCTGCCTTATTTTCATAACAGAATGTAACAGCTATATATGTTAGCTCTCATTTATGCGCACATATTGTTTCAATTATCACGTTGAGAGAAAGTTTTGAAGTAAAACATTTTAAGATTTTTTAAGCAATTACTGATTCATAATACTCAACACCGCCCATCATTGTTGGACTTTTGCATCGGATGAATGAGTCCAAGCGGCTCCGTGTGTTATTAATTAGATCCAGAGTGTAACGCGTCACAACAAACTCTCGCAGAGGTGATGGGTGGTGCACGTGGCTGTGGTCACCTATATTAGGACGTCATCAGCAGTGTCACGTCACTGTATATTTGGCGCCACGTCAACTGGCGGACTCTGCTCAGTCACAAAGGTCACAAAGTGCAGCGACATGTAAACAAACAGTTTATTGTTTCACGATTAGTTAGAAACTTCTGAAACATAACTCGGAGATATAAAGCGAGATATTGTGTTTCATTAACTTACAACGTTGCTTGAAATTAGTTCAGTGGCTGTAGTCACCATTTTCGAGCTCTCTATTTAGCGCTAAGATAGTCGTAAGCGCCATACATTAACATTAACTTACAACTATCTTAGCAGGGCAGATTTTAAGAGAGCTTCGAAAATCTGGGCCCAAGTATCGTCCATATTTATACTTAGACAACAATTTTCTTACCTGACCATGCAAAGTTCCCAACACAACAAACGGCAAAATGTCTGGAAGTGTTTCAAAAAGATATATTTCTCCTGAAACACAACAAATATTCTCACCTTGACACTGAAATAAACACTACGACGTGGACGACACACACCACGTCTGCCTCAGTAACGACACGTCCTCCGCCACAGTTTATACCATGACTATGCCGACTGATTGACCGTCTTGCAGTTACATCACGTGACAGCGTGATGGCTCCAGCAGTTTCATCACGTTCGTATGTCCCTCATAGCGTCTCGCCACGTTCACCGCTGTCTGTCCGGTGTTGTTCCTGACGTTGATGTCCAACACTTTGAAGGACAGGACAAACTTCACTATGTTCCTGTCTCCTCCCATACAGGCGTAGTGAAGGAGGTTGTTACCGCCATCGTCCACAAGTGACATATCAGCACCTTGACTCACAAGGAGCTCCACCATCATCTGTGTGTCCCCAGAGTGCTGCCCACATCACCGGTGTCCAGCTGCCCAGTCCTCTGATGTTGATGTCCACCCCGTCCAGAGCCAGGACAAACTCCAGTGTCTTTTTGTCTCCTCTCCACAGGCCAAGTGAAGGATGTTTGTCACCGTCATCGTCCACCAGTGAAACATCTGCACCTTGACTCAAGGTGCTCCACCACATCTCTCGTGTCCCCGCCAAGCTGCCGCCATCACGGTGTCCAGCTCCTCCATCCTCTACTGTTGATGTGCATGTCCACCCGTCCAGAGACAGGACAAACTCCACTGTCTTGCTTCCTGTCTCCTCCCCACAGGCCCAGTGAAGGATGTTTGTCACCGTCATCGTCCACCAGTAATACATCTGCACCTTCACTCACAAGGAGCTCCACCCCATCTCTGTGTCCCCTCAGTGCTGCCGCCATCACCGGTGTCCTCCAAGCACACTTATACTGTTGACGTCAGTCCACCCTGCGTCCAGGATCCGCTTCACCTTCGCCAGGTTGCCTTCCTGCAGGCGTCGCGGAGGTCGGCGTCTGCCCGGGCGTCTCTCCGTGCACGGAGTCGGTGTCGCTGTAACACAATTTAAACTCTGTACACAGGTCGAACATCTTTACCTATTACATATACATTGTTCATGTCTTTACACTGATGATACAAAACACTTGTACACCAGGTCGGACATCTTCATCTTACAGCTACATTGTTCATATCTTACACTGATGATACAAAACACTTGTACACAGGTCGGACATCTTCATCTTACAGCTACATTGTTCATGTCTTACACTGATGATACAAAACACCGCTGTACACAGGTCGGAAATCTTCATCTTACAGCTACGTTGTTCATATCTTACACTTGATGATACCAAAACACTTGATACATCATCATCTATACATGCACTATGGCTGAAAACAACATGGCGGCTGTACAGAGGATCAAAAGAACTGGTTCATGCTTTTTCACACATCAGTCATTTACATGATTAGATGTCATCTAACAGTTCTAACACAGTTTTGAGTGATCTGCCCACTACAACACACGTGACATTGACTCCACCCACCTCCCTGTGTCAGGCCTTGAGGGGGTCCAAGACATCTCCTGTGTCTCCCTCTCCGCTCGTGGCTGTTGAGACAATCAGGAGGTTAGAATAAACACTGGGTTCAATAGTCTATGTGTGTGGTGACTGACGCAAGTTTTGGATGTATTCTGACACTATTTACATAAAACACGTCACAAGTTACTTTGACTCACAAAAGTCCAGAAACTTTCTGCACTGTGGACACTTTCTGACAAGGGATTAGACAAAATTAAACATGCGGTTGTTTTGAATGTATGCAAAGGATGGCAAAAAAAAATGAATTCTTTTTGTTGAAAGCTCAAATTTAAACTCGCTCGTCCATGGGCCAGCCCATGAGCGAGACTGACTCATTAGTTCTCTCAGAATTCATGTTTTTGAGGTTGTAAATGAATGAAAGTATGTTTACAAGCATCATGACACAGAATTCAACTCATTTTGACTTAATTCCGGCTAATTTAAGAGATGATTAAAATTCTCGCCCATGGGCGAAAAAACATTTTGGCCCATGAGCGAGAATATTTACTTTTACTCAAAATACATGTTTTTCCATGTTTTGAAGGTTGTACATGAATGATTATGTTTATGAGCATCATGATACAATCTTTTCACCTAATTCGGCTAATTGAGAGTTCTATAACATATATATCGGCCATGGGCGAAAATATTTAGTTTTATTCAAAAACTCAAAAATATATGTCAGTCCACAATGGGCGAAATAGTTTGATCCACTGGTGAGATAACTTAATTTCACAATTAATTTTGTTTTGGTTTGCGAAAAACACTCGACAAAATTGTTTCTAGTAGTGTATTGTGCTGATTAGGTGGATACCCACAGATGTATGGAGGCTGATTCCCCTTTTATATCGCATAATCGCCGTAGCTCAACATTATCGTCGTTTTCGCCATTTTCGTGTTGTGTTGTCGCAATTTCGCGTGTCGTAATATCGCCATTTCGTGTCATGTTATCGTCAATTTCGTGTCTCTTGTTATCGCCATATCGTGTCGTTTTATCGCTATTTCGTTTTTGGCTGTATCGCAATATCGCTACATCGTGTCGTCATATTGCAATAGTGTGTGGTATTATCGTTTTGTCGCGATATGCCTATATTTTTAGGGCAATAAGGCGATGGCCCGAATTAGCCACCATAGATTACTGATGCCGAGGTGAATATTACCAACATTGCCTTTATTGCTTATTATCAGTGCTCTTGTCTTATGGTACCCGTGTGTATTGGAGCTGCCACACAATTCTGTACTACTGCCACAGTGATATCCCAGTTTTGATTTATGTTGATTTTAGTTCTTGTTAAATTTAGACTGCTAATGTTAATAACAGTAGCAGCTACATTTTTCGTTACAATGTAAAACCCTGTGATTTCACCCGAGCCCAACAGCCTTAGTCAGTTTCTTGCACTTATTATTTGGAAGTATTAATATTAAGTGTAAAATCGTGCTTCACGTGCTGAGGTGATATCACATTGGTTACCTTTTTTTTTTGCTTCTTTTTCTTCTTTTTCTTTTTTGTGGACGAAATGACTGAATGGTAACTTACTTGATTTGATCTGACCTGGATTCAGAGTTTAGTATTTAAAGAAGGCCTTTAGGCTGGACTTTAGCCGAGTACTTATTTCATATTTGAATGCCCTCCAACATTTTCAATATTACATGGAACCAGTGTTCGATATGCTGTAAACTCAGTGTTACCTTCGGTATCCAGAAACTCTGATGTTGTATCTGAAAAGATGAAAACTGAAGATATAGAGCTTGCCTTTTCTCAGTGTCTATTGTTTACATTTCTCATTGCATCACAGTTCTGTCCTGTTCTGTGTTCTTGGAGAGTGTGGTCGAGATGTGAGTATATAGACAAGGGTGGGTGTCAGACACTAGATATATTCACAGTAGTTGTATTTGTCTGTAAACACACGTGGAGTACACGAGCTCAAATAGGACAACAAGTGTACAACGAATCACAATAAAAATAATACATATTACAGTTAAAGTCACTTAGATTCTCCACTGAACGTGATCTCCCTCAAAATCCCAAATGCTCTTCAGGTGTGTGTGTGCGCGTGCGTGTGTGTGTGTGTGTGTGTCTGTTAAGGTAATTAACTACAACCATTGTGTGTATGAACGTATATTGAATAAAGTATTGGTCATTGACTGATTCTGTCATTAGCTCGCCTGTACCCTCATAGCGTTATCGTGTGTATACCCTTGCATTGATGTAAGTCGCATCATATTTCAAGCATCTCTCCTTAATTAAGAAATGACTTAAAAAAACCGCAGTAAAAATGTCGAAGGCGGAAAATCGGGAGCATACCATAGTAGGCTTGGAAGTGTCCTAAAGAGGTCACCCGCTACTGTTAATATTTAACTGTGAAAATCTCAGTAATTGCAACCATTCACCGTTGTTTTACCACTCAGATGTCAAGATTTAGCTCTGTATTTTCTCAGCAATTGCAGTGACACTGTTTCAGTTGTCAACACTTGGTATCAATATTTCATTACGCTTTTGTATTGTCATGTTACCTTCAATATATTTCTGTCACATAAATGTTTGTGTCGGTAGTATTTCTCTATAACCACCAGTTAAATCTTTAACCAACTTATGGTTACACTGCTTTGCCTTCGCCTATTTTGTATATGGGATTATCAGGTGGGGAACATTTGACACATTGCATCAGTGTGTACCGTGCCGGACTCTCGTCACTGCGTGTACTGGCTACAGAGAGCACTACATTGTGTCTTTCAGGTGTTTGCTTCTGTTAGATTCGTAACCTAAAGATGTAATCCATCTACAAGCTACCAGTATGTGAATTTGTTGAAAGAGAATATATATTACTTGTTTGAGTGGCATTTTAGAAGTTGAGACGTACAATATGGAACAAGTTTTTATGGATAACAACTTCTTTATTTTGTGAGTGCGACGTTTCACGATACAGATTTCTTTACCGTTGCCAAAAGCAAGAGTGATACATGAAGTGGAGGAGCTGCATATTTATACTGTGTATAACAATGAAACTACATACATTGTAATTGACAAAGGAAACAACATAATTGCCATAATTGGTTAAGCAGTAAGCTGATGAAGCCAGTGAGTACACAAGGGATGGTGAATGGAAGCCAGAGATGTATAAATACAGGAGTGGTACAATAAAGGGGATGTTTATACAACAAGAATATATATTGTTGTGAGCATCGCACACACATTTATATAAAACTCCATGGCTAAATCCAATACGGAATACGAAATACGGATGCGTATTGTGATTGAACCTTCATCAACCATTTACAATGCACTGTCGGAATAATTTACTCCAGACACACACATATTATTGAACAACTGTTCCTGATCACAGCTTGTACTCACAGAATACACTGCTGTCCGAGGGTTGAGGAGCACCAGGCCTCCGCGATGACATCATCATGTCTGAAGCAAACCGAGGAACATGTGAGAATCAATGCTGCTATATACTTTATTCAAACCTCAATGCCTACTTCTGGCACATTTTATTCCGGGCTTAATAGCCTAAAACTGGATAATTCATCTACAGAACAAAGTATGTGAGGTTCAATGAATGTCGTATACTGTTTATGGAGGCCGCTAACCACAGTGAAAGAGTTTGTGTTTTGGACCATTTTAGCTTTCAATACATTTTTATTTTGACGTGTAACATCAATTCGCGGATATATTTCAGGTGAACATTTTACTTGCACTTTCACGTGTTTGTGACGGCTTGGTCTATGCGGTGATCTTTGTGAGAATAGCTGGCATCACTTTGTGATTCTAAACACATTGGCAGCCATTTCTCACTTTGAAAAACGACGTACCTTTATCTCTTGTAATTCTTTCATCACATTTGCCAAATTTGCTTCCTTGAGGTCGTGTCCCTACAATACACATACAGATTTCGTTAATATACGTTTCTGCATTTCATGGACATGTTTCCAAACAATGAAAACAACAAAGCGGATATATTCATAAACACAAGTTCCGAATGCGTGGCGTCGTGTGGTCCTGTGCATAGAGCTCATGTCACGAATCAGTTGAAGTTAAGCAATGTCGATCTCAGATTGTCATTGGATGCGTGACCGTGTTTGGCAGCTTGACTCCTGAGAGTGTCTAGAACCTGCCCCACAATGAATCACATTTGATACACGTAGTCTCGCCTAACAAGTGAGTTTGTTATAAGTTGCCTTTGAAAATGAGTACCCGGTTGGATAAAGTCATGTGACTGTAACCATCAAGCGCCTGACATACAGCTTGGGTTATCCGGGGTAATAATACTCACATTCTGATTACAGCGTCCAGTGAGCAACTAGTCAAATGGATACTAGACGCTATATAAGTGAATTATTATTATATATTTCAAATGTCACACTCAATCGTATCGAGATGAGGGTTGCGTGTGCTATTGTTTGGATTCTATTGTTTGGGTTCCTGATAATGAAATGTTTTACAGGTACCTGTCTATTCATGTCTGTCTCCTGTCCATGTTGAGGAAGATCTAAAACGAAAAGATTAAATGATATATACACACAATATATATATATATATATATACTGCTGTGTACGGAAATATTAGCAGTATAACTTGTATTGATACACTAAACCTGTTCGTTATCAAAACAACACCTATGGCTAATATTGCTGTTTTCTGATGTACTAAGAAACGTAATAATTTGTTATGGTAAAATCCACACAGGGAGCTCTGCACATGCCCAGGTATGTGTGGCTAGCTATTATTATCAGGGTATGCCAGCTCAGATACCATACCCGACTCAGACACCTTACCCTGGCCACACCCCATAACACTGAGCATCAGGTAGGGTTACAGTAACACCTTAAATACCCCTATCAAGATGAGACCAGGAGATCGAGCAACCAAATTTCCACTTCCCGGAAAGACACATTATTATCTGGATCACAGAACCAAATATTTATTGCACAGAAGTTAAGAGCATAATCACAGCATTACGTTTCATATCGAACAGAAACTACTTCGTTTTGGTCGCCATAAACACTTTTTAAAAAAAACTGTTGTGGCGGCCATAATGAAACTCGTAAATATATTCAGGTGATATCATTAGTGGAAACACAACGTGAATTGCAGATTCATTAGTCTAGAATGTTTAGGTGACCATTGTATTTACAGAGACAGTTAATGAATGTTCAGAAAAGTCAGAAACATGACTAGAGCCGAAATGGGAATGTAGGGTTTATATGTGTTGTGATGTCTACCTACAAATAGCCTCAATAGTTCGAAAGGATCGGGTTTTTATTAAAAGAACTGTAGGCTAATGTTCTTATTATTTAATGGTTGAAAATGCTACTAAATCGCTGCTTTACTTTAGTCAATGTTTTACGATTGATGCATGAAATGAAACTTTCACAATACACATACACGCTGAATTAAATAACTATTTATGCCCTATAGTTTGCAATTTGTTTAAAATGTATAAACTGTTATTATTGAAGGGAGAATTTCTGTCCGTCCGTATACAAGAGTTTTTATTGAGCTATCAAAACAATAACATGGAATTGGATTCGTAACTTTGCATTTCTATGTCAGGTATACACAAATATCAAAGTCAAAGGAAAAAATACACATTTTAAAAATCCCTAATAGCAAAGGCAGCATTTGAAAACCTGGGTTTTGCTATTGCACAGATTGATGCGAAAGTACCTAGAACACTTTCGAGATATGGTCCTGACAAACACAACACTAAGAACTGACAAACACAACACTAAGAACTGACAAACACACCACTAAGAAATGACAAACACAACACTAAGGACTGACAAACACTAAGAACTGACAAACACAACGCTAAGAACTGACAAACACAACATTAAGGACTGACAAACACAACACTAAGGACTGACAAACACAACACTAAGAACTGACAAACACAACACTAAGGACTGACAAACACAACACTAACAACTGACAAACACAACACTAAGGACTGACAAACACAACACTAAGAACTGACAACCACAACACTAAGAACTGACAACCACAACACTAAGGACTGACAAACACAACACTAAGAACTGACAAACACAACACTAACAAACACAACACTAAGAACTGACAAACACAACACTAAGAACTGACAAACACAGCACTAAGAACTGACAAACACAACACTAAGAACTGACAAACACAACACTAAGGACTGACAAACACAACACTAAGAACTGACAAACTAAGAACTGACAAACACAACACTAAGGACTGACAAACACAACACTAAGGACTGACAAACACAACACTAAGGACTGACAAACACTAAGAACTGAAAAACACAACACTAAGGATTGACAAACACAACACTAAGAACTGACAAACACAACACTAAGGACTGACAAACACAACACTAAGGACTGACAAACACAACACTAAGAACTGACAAACACAACACTAAGAACTGACAAACACAACACTAAGGACTGACAAACACAACACTAAGGACTGACAAACACAACACTAAGAACTGACAAACACAACACTAAGAACTGACAAACACAACACTAAGAACTGACAAACACAACACTAAGGACTGACAAACACAACACTAAGGACTGACAACCACAACACTAAGAACTGACAAACACAACACTAAGGACAAACAAAACACAACCGTAAGAACTGACAAACACAACACTAAGAACTGACAAACACAACACTAAGAACTGACAAACACAACACTAACAAACACAACACTAAGAACTGACAAACACAACACTAAGAACTGACAAACACAGCACTAAGAACTGACAAACACAACACTAAGAACTGACAAACACAACACTAAGGACTGAGAAACACAACACTAAGAACTGACAAACTAAGAACTGACAAAGACAACACTAAGGACTGACAAACACAACACTAAGAACTGACAAACACAACAATAAGGACTGACAAACACTAAGAACTGACAAACACAACACTAAGGATTGACAAACACAACACTAAGGACTGACAAACACAACACTAAGAACTGACAAACACAACACTAAGAACTGACAACCACAACACTAAGGACTGACAAACACAACACTAAGAACTGACAAACACAACACTAACAAACACAACACTAAGAACTGACAAACACAACACTAAGAACTGACAAACACAGCACTAAGAACTGACAAACACAACACTAAGAACTGACAAACACAACACTAAGGACTGACAAACACAACACTAAGAACTGACAAACTAAGAACTGACAAACACAACACTAAGGACTGACAAACACAAAACTAAGAACTGACAAACACAACAATAAGGACTGACAAACACTAGGAACTGACAAACACAACACTAAGAACTGACAAACACAACACTAAGGACTGACAAACACAACACTAAGAACTGACAAACACAACACTAAGAACTGACAAACACAACACTAAGAACTGACAAACACAACACTAAGGACTGACAAACACAACACTAAGGACTGATAAACACAACAATAAAAACTGACAAACACAACACTAAGAACTGACAAACACAACACTAAGAACTGACAACCACAACACTAAGAACTGACAAACACAACACTAAGAACTGACAAACACAACACTAAGAACTGACAAACACAACACTAAGGACTGACAAACACAACACTAAGGACTGACAAACACAACAATAAGAACTGACAAACACAACAATAAGAACTGACAAACACAACACTAAGAACTGACAAACACAACACTAAGGACTGACAAATACAACACTAAGAACTGACAAACTAAGAACTGACAAACACAACACTAAGGACTGACAAACACAACACTAAGGACTGACAAACACAACACTAAGGACTGACAAACACTAAGAACTGACAAACACAACACTAAGGATTGACAAACTCAACACTAAGAACAGACAAACACAACACTAAGGACTGACAAACACAACACTAAGGACTGACAAACACAAAACTAAGAACTGACAAACACAACACTAAGAACTGACAAACACTAGGAACTGACAAACACAACATTAAGGACTGACAAACACAACACTAAGGACTGACAAACACAACACTAACAACTGACAAACACAACACTAAGGACTGACAAACACAACACTAAGGACTGACAAACACAAAACTAACAACTGACAAACACAACACTAAGGACTGACAAACACAACACTAAGAACTGACAAACACAACACTAAGGACTGACAAACACAACACTAAGAACTGACAAACACAACACTAAGAACTGACAAACACAACACTAAGAACTGACAAACACAACACTAAGGACTGACAAACACAACACTAAGGACTGACAAACACAACACTAAGAACTGACAAACACAACACTAAGAACTGACAAACACAACACTAAGAACTGACAAACACAACACTAAGGACTGACAAACACAACACTAAGAACTGACAAACACAACACTAAGAACTGAAAAACACAACACTAACAAACACAACACTAAGAACTGACAAACACAACACTAAGAACTGACAAACACAGCACTAAGAACTGACAAACAACAATAAGAACTGACAAACACAACACTAAGAACTGACAAACACAACACTAAGGACTGACAAACACAACACTAAGAACTGACAAACTAAGAACTGACAAACACAACACTAAGGACTGACAAACACAACACTAAGGACTGACAAACACAACACTAAGGACTGACAAACACTAAGAACTGACAAACACAACACTAAGGATTGACAAACACAAAACTAAGAACTGACAAACACAACACTAAGGACTGACAAACACAACACTAAGGACTGACAAACACAAAACTAAGAACTGACAAACACAACACTAAGAACTGACAAACACTAGGAACTGACAAACACAACACTAAGA